GATCCATCAGACATCAGCAATGATATCCCTCGTTCCATGGCCTCTTCTGAATCTGGCTTGAACCTCTGGAAGTTCTTTGTCAATGTATGCTTGCACACTCAGCATTTCTCAAGCTAGGGAAACTGAAGAAAAAATTCAAGGCTTGACTTTCATCATTGAAGGATTCTCTGGGCAAATTATTGAATGATGCAATAAGCATCAAGAGAAGATGAAAGGAATAAATAGAGTCACTGTACCTAAAGAAAATGGTTGATGTTCAACCATTTCAAGAGGTAGCATATGATCAAGAGCCAATGATATTGAAGGAGGATGTCCAAGATGCATTGAAGGAATTGGCAAAGAACAAGGCACCAGGAATTGATGGAATAAAAATTAAAATCTTTCAGGAAAGTGAGGTGACACTGGAGGCACTCACTCATCTCTGCCAAGAAATGTGGAAGACAACTGTCTGGCCAACTGATTGGAATAGATTCGTATTTGTGCAAATTCCAAAGAGAGGTGACCCAATGGAATGCGGAAATCATCAGACAATCTCTTTGAAAACTCAAGCGAGTTAAAGTTTTACTAAAGATAATACAGAAACAGCTGCAAGCATACATTGACAAAGAACTTCCAGAGGTTCAAGCCAGATTCAGAAGAGGCCATGGAACGAGGGATATCATTGCTGATGTCTGATGGATCTTGGTTGAAAGCAGAGAATATCAGAAAGATGTTTACCTGTGCTTTATTGACTACACATTGTGTGGATCATGAAAAGCTGCGGACAATATTGCAAAATATGAGCATTCCTGAACACTTAATTGTGCTCATGAGGAATGTGCACATGGACCAAGAGGCAGTTGTTCGAACAGAACATGGGAACACTGAATGGTTTAAAATTAAGAAAGATGTGTAACAGGGTTGTATTCTTTCACCATACTTATTTAACTGCATGCTGACCAAATAATCCGAGAAGCTGGGTTATATGAAGAAAAACGTGGCATCAGGATTGGAGGAAGACTCATTAACGACCTGCGATATGCAGATGATACAACCTTGCTTGCTGGAAGTGAAGAAGACTTTAAGTATTTACTGATGAAGATCCAAGAGCACAGCCTTCGGTATGGATTGCATCTCAATGTAAAGAAAACAAAAATCCTCACCACTAGACCAATAAACAACATTCTTATCAACGGAAAAAAAGATTGAAGTTGTCAAGAACTTCATTCTTGGATCAACTATCAACACTCATGGAAGCAGCAGTCAAGAAATCAAACAACGTATTGCCTTAGGCAAATCTGCTGCACAAAACCTTTTTAAAGTATTGAAAAGCAAAGATGTCAGCTTGAGGACTAAAGTGCTCCTAACACTAGCCAGGGTATTTTCAATAACCTCATATGCATGTGAAAGCTGGACAGTAAATAAGGAAGACCATAGAAGAATTGATGCTTTTGAGCTATGGTGTTGGAGGAGAGTATTGAAAGTGCCATGGGCTACCAACAGAACCAACAGTTCTGTGTGGGAAGAAGTGCAGCCAGAGTGCTTCTTAGAGGCCAGGATGGCAAACTTCATCTCTCATACTTTGGACATATTGTCAGGAGGGACCAGTTGCTCAAGAAGGGTATCATGTTTGGTAAGGTGGAGGGTCAGAGAAGACGAGTAAGACCCCCAGCACAATGTATTGGCAAAGTGGCAGCAACAATGGGCTCAAGCATGGCAACAATTGTGAGGTTGGCCCAGGACCAGGCAGTGGTTTGTTATGTTGTGCATAGGGTCACTATGAGTCAGTACCGACTCGATGGCACCTAACCACATAAAGCAGTTGGACTTTCTAGTCCTCACTCTGTTATAAGCAGGTTTTGTATTTTTGGAGTTATGCTTTCCAAGAACACTTGAGTTAAATGAGTTCCCAAGATTCAAATTTATTCACACAAGATAAAATAGTGTGACTAAAAAACTATTAAATATCAGATCCACATCCTAATCTTTAGCTTACCCTATTAAACCACACTCTCTTTCCATTTTTTCTTCAATCTTTTCATTCATTTCTATTAACTTTATAAAATGAATGAAAATATCTTTGATAAGGATCCATAAAAGGCCCCAAAGCAAACCATTTCTCCTCATTTAGTTCTTTGCCGTCCTTTCAACTTACATGAGAACATTAAAAGGCCTAAAAGAAAAAATTATAGAGGAAGCGTAACATTTAAGAAGAGAAAAAAAAAAGTATAATTGTTCAAAGGCTTTGGTTCAGCCAGAAAATCAATCCTTTGATACTGAATTTTCTCAAGTTCCCTCTCTCGTCCCTTATTCTGTTCATTTGATTTTATGCATATGATGTAGTGCTGGTGTGAGAAACTACTGTAAACAGTCAGATTTAGGAGGGCAATCATCCAATTACTTAGAGATATTTCCTGGGCAATTAATCAAGAGAAATAATTTCTGACATTCTATTGAGTATAATGTACAGTCTTGCATTTCTAATAGTCTGCAAATTTCTATACTATGAAGTATGAGTTGGAACATTTCTGAGGGCTGTGAACTTTTAAGTCTTGCCTTCACTGTTCTTTCTTTCTGAAGCTCGCCTGCCTTTATTAAATACAGAGCTTATGCTGCCTTAAAAAGCAGAATCCCATAATAGCTGATGTGCTTGCTGAGGATTAGCAGTAGTGTTTGATTTATCATGCAAATGATAAATAATCATATATCACAGAACAGTGAGAATTGGGTGAATAAAACTATAGCTAACTGGGTTTCTGTTAAAGCATTATTTTATTGTAGGAAACCTGAGTTTGCATATATCGTTTCTAGATTTCTGCTAATACTATAAACCAAAACCTACAAAGGGGGAAAATGAAATCAAATTTCTGCAAAACCCTTTACAATATGTGGGTGAAAGAGAAGTGTCAGAGAAGATTATTAAAGCAATCAGATAAGGGAAATTGCTAATTACATATCCCTTTTAGTTAGAAGCAATTAATGATGTTAAAGAATGAAGTAAAGCTGCTAATTTAACATTTGTAATTTTGGAAGCCTTTATATTCTGCCCAAAATTGGTTAAACTGGTCATTAAATACTAGCAGTTAAAGTCTAGTCCTTAATTCCCCGTCTCCCCCCGCCACACATACACACACACAAGCTAGCAATTAAGCCACTTCAAGGGAGTTAAACCAACTATTCAAGCATCGTGGTGTTCAAAAATGAAACTGAAACAGAGTTTTGACAAGTCAAGATAGAAGCACTTTTACAGACCGCTTGGTTTCCTAATTACGTGTTTCTTAGTGTCTGGAGGACGCTGTGACCTGGGATATGACTCTGATTTGATGTATTCATTTTCTATTGCTGCTGTAACAAATTACCATAAACTTAGTCACTCAAACACCTTACAGTGTGTCCACTGGGCCATGATCCGCCAGAGCTCCAGAGAAGGAGCACCGTCCTTGCCTATTCCAGCTTCTAGAATCTGCTTGCCTTCCTTGATTCATCACTCCAACCTCTGCTTCTGTCATCATCTCTCCTCTGACTCTCCTGTCCCCCTCTTCTACTTGTGATGCCATCCACATTCAGAGCCTTACCTTTATCACACCTGCAAAGTTCCTCCCGCCCTGTACAATGACATACTCAGAGGTTGGGCGGCTAACCTCAAAATCACTGTTTCAAACCTACCTGCTGTTCCATGGGAGAAAGATGAGGCTTTCTGCTTCAGTAGAGACTTACAGCCTCAGGGAGGCAGGGCTTGATGGCGGCTAGGGTGGACGTGCAGTGAAGTTCGCCGTTAGCCATACCTCAGAATCCCAGGCAAAGCAGATCCAGGACAGAGCTCCAAAACGCGGAACCACAGAGATAGGAATATTTTTAAAGGTTTGAAGGCTTATAGATTGTGGAACTTGAAGCTGAAGTAAGAAATTACGTACTTTTAAATCTGCCGGAATCGGAGGCCCGAAGCCGACATCTTGGGTGAGACCAAAAGGCAAGACCAAGTGGGGGGAGGTGAAACACCACGGAAAAACACCATGAGAACCTTGGAGCAAAGGTGGACAATGTACTTTGTTGGTTTTGCTTTGTTCTGATTTTCTTTTTTTTTTTTTTTTTTTTGATATCTGGTCATTGGCGTGCCCATTGTTTGTGCACCTCTGTTCTGGAGACTACAGCGGGAACCTGAGTGAGAGTACACCCCCACCCCCACTACTGGTGGGTTCTTCTGCCACGCATGCGCACAGATACTCAGCCCAAAAGAAGGCCCTGAAGGTTTTTGTTGTTTTTAGTTTTGTTTTTTTAATATGAGAAAGGGCAGGACAGGGTTGTAGAGAAGGAGAGTTTAAAAACAAAACAGGCCAAAAATTAAATTAAAGCCTGAGGTATAGCATAACAACCAACACTGGCATCTTGAAATCTCTCAGGCAGCTTTGAAAGCAAGAAGTTGAAGAGAGGACCTTAAAGTTATACTCATATTAAGCTACAGATTTTTTTTTTTTCCTTCTCTCCTTCCTCTCCGTTTTCTATGATTATAGACTGCAGTATTCCATCTAGTTTTTGTTGTTGCTGTATTTGAGTTTGTTTGTTTTTCTCTCTCTCTTGATTTTTTTGCTGGTCCTGTTCTGCTGTTTCATGCTTCCCTTTCTATCTTTGGAGGACTCTTTCTCTCCATAGATTACACGTGAAGAATCAGCAACTGCTATCATATATAGCCAAGCTACAATCACACTCTATAAAACACCAAAACCTAGGCAAGGGCCAATACCAGCAGCCATATACCAGAGAAACAAACAACACCAATGAAAGTTACTCTGAGTTAAGCAATAAGAAGAGTGAAACGGGAAGCCCACATCCTGATCACATCTTCCTGGAAGCAATCAGAAAGCATAAAAAATACCAAAGCCAACATCCTGGGTAGC